AGCATGAGCGTACACCCACCCACTCCGCGCATCCGCTTATAAAATTTAAATGAAATGAAAAGACTTTTCATTTCAGGTATGATTAGCTTTTGGCAAGCACTTTTACAAATTAAATGTAAAGTATTACGTGATAAGATGGAAGCTCAATTTATGTGTCTGTTTGTGAAGAAGTTGAGGTGCTTTTCCTTCTAGCTAATTGCAACCTGTTACAATACATCTCTGTTTTTGAGCTCACCCGCCTAGGAGCTTGTAAGAGTGGAAAGGCTCTTCCTGATTCTAAATACGGGTCAGTTTGTTTATTTAACAGTTGTGTGCTCAAGTAGCTCATGCTCTCTTGAGGCCAAGTTGAAACCATAGAATATAAAAACAAGCTGTTTTTGGCTGCTCACATTGCCTCTTGGTTCAGCTGCCTCCACCATGTGACGTGCAGAGGTGGCCTCCAAATCGTGTCCTCAGCTCGAAAATCACCCCACAGCTCACTTGCATAATGAGATAGACTCATTTTCAAGTGCCTTAGGGCAGCCAGCTCTGGCCTGGAAGTGACTGCTACAAGCTATTGTAAGCCCTTTGAAGCCACTGTAAGGATGCTCTGAGTCAGGAAAAAAATGAGATGAAGGCACCGTAGGAAAGTAAGGTTCCCCTGTAAATGTCCACAAATGTGGACGGAACAACTTGCTGGATGAATTTCTATTACACCTGCTTTCTTAGCATTAGGATTAATCCCTAGGGTGAGAGAGAATCTCTTTTGTAAGAAAAATACTTCAGTGAAGTGACAAGAGCAGAAAGAGACCTCAAGAAACACCAGTGCCACCCTGCCAGTGTAGCTCAGTGGTTGAGCATCAACCTATGAACCAAGAGGTTACAGTTCGATTCCTGGTCATGTCACTTGCCTAGGTTGTGGGCTGTGCAGGAGACAGCCTATCGATGATTCTCATCATTGATGCTTCTATCTCTCCCTCTACCTTCCTATCTGAAATCAATAACAAGATAAAGATAAAAGAAACAGCAGTGCCCAAATAGAAACCCTTCTTAGCAGTCATGCCAACAGAGAAAATACCTTCTGATACCAAATGTCATATAGAAACTCAAATGAAGGTTACGTTTTGGAGAGAAGTAGATGCTAGGCAGATTGGTGGTAGTAATTTTGATAGTTAATCTGAGGTCTTAGTCTTCAGCACTCGTGGTTCTTACATAATTTTGGCATTTTATTTCCTGCTTACATTCAAGAACTCTTAATGATGAGGAGGGTGAAAAATATTTTTTTGCTTTCAAAACTAATTGTGTTGGCCCTTCCCAGTTTGGCTCAGTGGATAGAGCATCAGCCTCCAGACTGAAGGGTCCCGGGTTCCATTCCACTCAAGGGCACGTAGTACCTCAGTTGCAGGCTCCTTCCCAGCCCAGGCCCTGGTTGGGGAACCTGCAGGAGGCAACCAGTCAATTTCTCTCTGTTTTTCCTTCTCTCTTCCACTCTCTCTAAAAAATCAATGGGGGAAAATTTCCTTGGGTGACTATTAAAATTAAATAAATAAAATAAAACACAAACCAAACACTTTAAAAAAAACAGAAACTAATTGTGTTGTTTCTAATTTAAGAGGTAAGGACAAGTGACCCTCTTTGGAGCATGCCCACTCCAATCTTCTTTTCGAGTAAATTTTCTTTGTCTGAAACTGTAAAAGATCCCAGGAGACTTAGAACCAGGGGAGCAGTGGACAGTGGCAGCTAGTCCTGGGCTAACCCCCTGACCTTATCCCCAAGGCTCCCTTCTCTCTGTCTTTCCACTGAGCTAACAGGCTCACTTCTTCCCATAGGTTTCTAGGGACCCAAAGCAGAGCCCTGCCTAGTCCCTCCCCTGTTGCTTCTTTTATCGTAAACCCTTCCTTGTTTCACTGTCCCCGGCTTTAATAAAGGTACTCTCAAAAAATAAAAAAATAAAAACATAAGAGGAGTAAGGTCAAGATCATCTAGCACAGCAGTTATCATAAATAGTTTAAATATTTCAAAAGATGGAAAAAAAGGCTCACATTGGATTTTTAAAATCTTACCTAATAATAGAAAAACATGTAAATTGACCGAACCTCTGCTAAGCCCCCAGCCAATCTGAGTGAGTATGCAAATTAACCCAACAGAGATGGCGGTCAATTTGCATGAATACCTGGGTCTTGGGAACCTCCTCAGCACCCAGGTCACTCCCAGCTGGCCATCGAGTGGAGGTTTTAGGCTTGGGCAGGGGCTGAGCCTGGGATCAGAGGGAAAGTGAAAACAAATCCATGGAAACATAACCTCAGTTGAGGATAAAAATAAAAATAAAGGAAGAAATGTCATATTCTATGAAAGACACATCTTGAAAACCTTAAAGAAAGTTGTCATTTTTTTCATGGTGAAGGGACTGGAGTCTGTGTTGATGAAAATACGTTGGTAGCTGTGGAGACTGGCAGTGGCTGCAGCCGTGGGGTGAAGGGGCTGGCGCCTGCCTTCCCCTAATAAGCCCAGTTGCCTCCATCAAAGGGAGGTCAGACTGTGGCTTAGGTTTGTTCCTAACTGGGAGTGGGCCTAAGCCATCAGTAGGACATCCCCTGAAGGCTCCCAGTATGTGAGAGGGGGCAGGCTGGGCTGAGGAAACCCTCCCCAGTGCACGAATTTTGTGCACCGGGCTCCTAGTTTAATTATAATTGTTGAATCTCAGTGTTTTATACCATTCTCTCTCTGCCTCTGTTTGAAATATTCTATAATAAAATGTTAATGCTATTTGTATCCAGACCTATAGAAAGAGTAAAACATTGTGTATATGTAAAAACATTTTATAAATGTAAAGTTTACTTAATTTGTCGCTGCTATATCTTTTTCATAGGGGCCATAACCATGGCTTTGTTGGAAAACCTAGTGGCAGGAAATGTGTACATTGTCAAGATATCTGCGTCCAACGAGGTGGGGGAAGGACCCTTTTCGAATTCTGTGGAGCTGGCGGTGCTTCCAAAGGAAACTTCTGAGTCAAATCAGAGGCCCAAGCGTTTAGATTCTGCTGATGCCAAAGGTCAGTATACCGTCACAATTGCTGATTTTTCTTAAAGAGAAGAACGTGCAGATCTGTGTCTCAGCTCCCTGCACCTGACCTCCACGCCTGCGATGGCCACACCCGGAAGCCTGCACGTGGTTTCTCGACTTGTAGCCAGTGAGGGTCCGAGGCTGTGGAGCGGCGTGCGTGGCTCTTGTTGCACTTCTGGAAGCAAAAGACACACTTACCTCAGAATTAGCTGCCATTTTCAGACCACTGTGTCCCCGTTAGTTCTCTTCCCAGCTGCTCAGCCACCAGGTCAGAGGAGCCACACCGTCCCGGCCTCAGGGGAGTAGCTTCCTGGGAGGCTGCATGGAAATAAACAGCAGTGGTGGCGTGGAGTTCAAGCTCAGAAGAGCATGACTTTCCTTAAGAATTTTCACCACAGAAACACAGCTTTTCCAGAGAGAAAGTTATTTCTCTCAAGGAAAATGATTGGGGAAAATATCTTCAGACATCTAGCTTCTCCTTGTCCCTGGGGAAGTGGGCCTGTGCTTTGGGGGTTGGGGAGCAGCTTCCTATGGTATAAAGAGAAAGAGAAACAGAATGAGAAAGACACCCGGGGAAGGAGAGAGAGAGGAAAAGAGGGGAGGGCAGTCAGAGTTAAGCCCAGAAGCAGGTAGTCACAGTAACTATCCTGTTATCGGGGAGCGGGGGGAGGAGAGGACGGTTCATAGTCACACCTCAGATGCCTGGCTCCTCGAGGTGTCAGGGCGCCAGTGGCATGAGTGTCACCCAGAAGCTTATAAAACACGCAGCCCCCACTCCAGCACCAGTGTGCCAGAATCCGCCTTTTAACCTGTGCCCCCGTGAAGCGCATGCACCTTAGCGTTTGAGAAGCCGATTAAATGCAAATACGTAAATGCTAATTGAATACAGCTCTGCTTTTAGATAACGTGACAGGAGCGCTATCCTTTCGTCCATCCGGGAACCCCTGGGCCTCGTGCCGTTCAGCATTATAGATTGTAAACCGATGCTCATGTTTGATGTAACAATACAGTATCTGGAACTCATATTTAGAATCCTCACTGTGGGGAGATAAGCCAATCTTGCCGAGATCACCGATAAAAGTGCAATATGTGTCTTTTCTGCTTAGACACAGAAGTGTCAAAGGTTTTCCTGTGAGAGGGAGGAAAATTACAGGAAAGCAAGTATCTGTCTGAGGATTACAATAAATGGAATCATGGATTTTTTTAAAAATCGATTCTAAGTAAATGTGTTTCCCCTTCTAGTTTATTCAGGCTATTACCACCTGGACCAGAAATCGATGACTGGCATTGCTGTAGGGGTCGGCATAGCCCTGACCTGCATCCTCGTCTGTGTTCTCATCCTGATATACCGAAGTAAAGCCAGGTGAGTTACCGAAGGAAAGCCAGGTGAGTTACCGAAGGAAAGCCAGGTGAGTTACCGAAGGAAAGCCAGGTGAGCTTCCATGGCTAGAGGTGGTGAAGTGGTTAAGGTCACATTTAAATTACAGTAACCACAAGAAGCAAGTGCCTTGTAGAGTAATTGGGATTTTCCACTTTAAAATACACATACCGGTATTATTACTGGAGTTCTTAGAGCTATGGAGATATACACACTTTGGAAGATTACTTTCTTGCCACTTGAAAACTGTCAATAAAATATTCTTAATGAAGATCTAGTTTCTTTATATCCTTGGTGTGTGTGTGTGTGTGTGTGTGTGTGTGTGTGTGTGTGTGTGTTTAATATAATACATACACACACACCAGGGAGAGGGTAAGAGAGAAAGAAACATCGATGTGTGAGACACATGCCCCAATCCGGGCTGGGATTGGGCCTGCTACCCAGGTACATGCCCTTGACCGTGAATCAAACCCTGGCCCTTTGGTCCGAGAGCCAACACTCTAACCACAGAGCCAAACTGACTAGGGCTATACCCTTAATATTTTGAGAAACACAAAGTGTATCCTTTAGTTTTTTTAAAAAAATGTTGAGTTCAGTTCAGGGCAGCTTCCCTGTTCTGTTCATCACACTTTGGGACATCGGAATACAGGCTAAGGGAGATGACTGGATAGAAAGTATTGCTCTATTCCAAGCATGTCAAACTCAAAGGCTAATAAGGGACAGATAAACAAGGTTTAAGGTTATGTGGGCCACAAAAAAAACAAAAGCTTCCAATTTATAGAAACATAGATTTATTTCGCTCTATACATGCTGGAAACAAAGGGCTGAAATAAATGAGTAATCCTTAACATAAAACAACAGAATATTTTAATAAAACTTAATATTTTTTCTTGAACATTAACTTACCAGACACTGAATAACTAAACAAATTAATAAGCATAACACAAATAAATGTATTATTCTTGTTCTCCAAAAGCGAAATATTTCCTGTTGTGCACACCAAACAAGTCAGTCCAAGACTAATGATGTGGCCATCGGCTGCTAAAATATTTGCTGCTAGTATTAGTGGAGAGAAGTGGTGTGCCTTCACATAAGACGTGTGAGGGAAATGAATGCAACACGATTATAGTCACTAGTGAACCTTGTAGTTTGTTATTAATAATTATGTGTAACAGGATATTATAAAAATTGTTAGAATTTCTTATTAAAATGTTTCTGATATACCGTGTTATTGGCTGAGCTGCAAAAATGTTCATTGTGGGCTGCGTGTGGCCCGCAGGCCGAAAGTTTGACATGCTTGCCCTATTCATTTACCTCCCAGCCTACAAAAATGCTCGCGCAGATTTAAATATATCAGCAGATGAAAGATGTCCAAAGGAGAAGTGGTTCTGAAGAGATTGAAAGCTAATGAGCTTGGATTTGCAAAGAAGACCAAACTCATTCCGTTTTTTTAAGTTTGGGGTCTGTTGGGCTATTTAAGATACAATGACAATGAATCATGTTTGTGCATGGCTGCTTTCCAGAAAACATAAAAATAAAGTGACACAAACTGACAAACTGCTGATGAGAGGATTCCTTATTCCTTGGAATATTTTCACATTTAAAAGCCTGAAAAGCCTGAGTCACTGAGAGCTCCTCCCGCATCACCATAGAACAGATGGTGGGGTCTCTCTGGACATGGATTAAAACAAATGTAATAAGTACGGATTGATTTTCCGTGAACTCTGTCAGGCAATCTCATCTGTAATTTGACTTCAGCTAAATTCTCAGCATTCCGTGAACTTGTCTGTTTCTAACCTTTTATATACTTTGGCTTTTCTTAAAGTCCTTTTGTAAACTAAAAAAAAAGAAAAAAGAAAAGAAAGCCAAATACATATCATTTTTAGGTAATATGCCTTACTGCTCCCTCTCCATCTGCCTAGGTTGTCAGAGTTGACTCTATATGTGTTTGGTACTTGACTAGTAAAACATATTAATGAAGAGTTAGTGCTAACCTATTTTTATATATTGATTTGACTTAGTCTTATGGTCCAGGTTCCTCACTTTAAGAATATTTTTATAGCCGAAACCGGTTTGGCTCAGTGGATAGAGCGTCGGCCTGCGGACTGAAAGGTCTGGGGTTCGATTTCTGTCAAGGGCATGTATCTTGGTTGCGGGCACATCCCCAGTAGGGATGGTGCAAGAGGCAGCTGATTAATGATTCTCTCTCATCGGTGTTTCTAACTCTCTATCCCTCTCTCTTCCTCTCTGTAAAAAAATCAATAAAATATATTTATAAAAAAAAGAATATTTTTATAAAAATCTTTATGCACCATCTTTTAGTGATGCCTACATCTTGCAGAAGTGCTACTGTAAATTTGCAATCATTAATTGGCAAGTGAAATGTGATGTTAGTGTGATAGTCTGTAGACCTGAGAGAGAACATGTAAATTTAAAATTTTAATCTATGCATACATTATAAAATACCAATAATAAAGCATAGTCGTTTGTAACTATTAAGGCTTTTATTAGGTGTTTGTTAAAAGTATACGTAACCAGATATTGGGACAAAAAGAAATAAAGAAGCTTTCTTAAATCATAAACATTTTCAGCAGTGAGTTGGAGTTAACATCTAATACTCAGTTCCTAAAGGTATTTGAGAAGCAAACATTACAGAACATTTGTGTGCAAAGTTGTGATTATAGCCCCAACTTGGTACATTTGCCTGTATCCCTGATGAAATTAGATTTCCTTTTCTTGCAATATTTCAGGAAGTCATCTGCTCCCAAGACGGCGCAGAACGGAACTCAGCCGCTGTCTCGAACCAGTGCCTCCCTGGCCGGTGGGAACGAAGTAGGAAAGAACCTGGAAGGGGCTGTAGAAAGTGAGGACTCCTTGATGCCAATGAAGATGCCCAACAGCTTCATTGATGCAAAGGTACTGCAGGCGAGGGAACCCATTTGCTGCATGCGCAATCTTCCCTCCACTCGTCTTCCCTCTATGTGTAATATTTACTTAGCAAAACATTGCATGTCAGATGTATTATATCCATACTCCACTTAATGAAACGTGAAGCAGTTTTACCCACATCCTCCTTACACAAAATATTTGGGGAGAAGAAGATAGGGATATATAAAAGAATTAAAGATGAAAGAGATATAGAAAGAGAAGGTAGCATAAATTCAATTAGATGGGATTATGTGGAGCTAAAATGTCTTCAATAAGGACACCAGAATCATTAATTTATATTTATGACAAATTGAATTGCCCTGTATTTACTGGGTGGACAACTTTTTACTAATTCGTTGTAGGTTGGTAGAACGTCACTGGGGGATGTTACTCTATGTCCTATCCACTGTAATAATAGTACCGTGATAAGCATTATGAATAGCAACTGAAATTATTTTTAGTCACATTGCAAAATTAAATAGCATATAGTGTACATTATTATAATAGTTCTCAATAACCAATGTGCTATAAACACAGGTGTCAGTAAACTAGAGCCAAGCCAAGTCCAGTCTATGGCCTGTTGTTTTGTTGGTTTGTTTGTTTATTGTTAATCCTCGCCCTAGGACAATTTCCCACTGATTTTTAAAGAGAGGGGAAGAAACAGAAAGAGAGAAACATTGATGTGAGAGAGACACATTGATTGGTTGCCTCCTGCACGTGGCCCTGGTAGGGGTGCTGGGGATCAGTCTGCAACCAAGGTGCATGCTCTTGACCAGAAGGAACCCGGGACCCTACAGTCTGCAGGCCGACCCTCTGTCCACTGAACCAATCTGGCTAGGGCATGCTTTTATATGGTCATAACCTGAGCTAAAAATGTCTTTTATATTTTTATTTTTATTTCGTTTTTTACATTTTTAAATGGTTGAATAAAAAAAGATGGAGAAAATGCAATAGAGGCCATATGTGTAGTCTGCAAAGCCTAAAATATTTACTATGTGGCCCTTTACAGAAAAAAGAGTTTGCCAAATTTAGCTATAAATTATTTTTCCCCAACCCTTTCCTAAAATTTAGAGTAATAAAAATATAACAGTCCCTGGCCAGTTTTCTCAGTGGTTAAAGCATCAGCCTAAGGACCAAATGGTTTTGGGTTTGATTCCCAGTCAAGGGCATGTACCTTGGTTGCAAGTTCAATCCCTGGCCAAGCAGGAAGCAATCAATTAAAGTGTCTCTTTCACATCGCTGTTTCTCTCCTCTCTCTTCTCTCTCCCCACCCCCCTTAAGGATAAACGTAATATCTTTTTTATCACTAGCAGCTACTCTGAATTGTTGTATGCTGCTATGTAAAAGTAGAAATAGTAATATCTGTGATTGTTTTCTCTTAACATTTAAAAATTTGGGGCACTACTACTTGTGATAAACTGAACTATATAATAATTACATTTTCCCCTATATTTATCCAGGGAGGAACTGACCTGATAATTAATAGCTATGGTCCTATAATTAAAAACAACTCTAAGAAAAAATGGCGTTTTTTCCAAGATTCTAAGAAGATAAAAGTTGAGCAGGTAACCCACCTACATGAGAAAAATCTTTGGCAGCCCATGGTGTATGAAACGGTAGTTAAAAAGAGAGGAAAATGTAAATGGATGCTTTCATTCCCGTGTTCTCTCTGTGTGTCCTTTTATTAATTTGGGGCACGACTCCGTGGAAAGGCGTGGGGAATGATCACTGAAATGGCAGTTGGAATCGTAATTAGAACTGAGGTTTCCAGTGGGGAGTGGAGGGCAATGGAGAAAGGGATGGGGCAGGACTTTGCGTCCAAATCACTGAGGACGCCTTTGGTGTCAGTTAGCCCAGTAATTCTGATGTGCCCCCAGTCCTCAGTGGGGAACCACCGACCTAGACAGTCCCTTCGTGAGAATAACCTTTCCCCCGGGGTATCCCAACTATTTGCTATCTCAGAATTAGATGGAGACATGTACACATAAGGAACTGTTTGACCTTGAACTTGGGACTCAAAAGAACTGTTGGCCCAGAAAAGAACTCACTACAGACAGATTCATTTGCCTCTCAGCATAACCATTATGGCTTGTCTCAGTTTCGGTTCTAACAAGGGTACGTATTTTCCGGTGTATAAGACGACTTTTGAAACGGAAAAAAAGTCAACGGAAAATTGGCCAGAGTCAGAGAGGCGGTCTATTAAAAAAAGAACTGGTGTTGCCTTGGAAGTGGGGGGTAGACTTATACAGCGAATATAGGCCTAAACCTATGTTTGAACTGTAAAATCGGGGTCGTCTTGTACGCCGGAAAATATGGTATTTCTTGAATCACACGATCTCTCACATCTAGAGGAAATAATGAACAACATAAACTGATGAACAAAAACAGACACAGAGAAAGAGAAGCAGTGATAAGACTTTCAAACCTAAAAGCATAGTAGGGGAGGGGAGGGTAAGGGGGAGAGATCAACCAAAGGACTTGTATGCATGCATATGGGCCTAGCCGGAGGCCATGGACAACAGAGTGGTGGGGCACATGTGGGGAGGGGTTTGGGATGGGAATGGGGGGATGAGGACAATTATGTGATACCATAATCAATAAAATAAATAAAAGAGAATTAGATGGAATAGGTAAAAACAGACTTAGTCTTTCCCAGGAGCATTCCATCATCACTGACGGTGTTTTATTTATTTTTGCCTAGCCTCCAAGAAGATTTACCCAATCGGTCTGCTTCTACCAGCCAGGCACGACTGTGTTAATTAGCGATGAAGACTCCCCCAGCTCCCCAG